CTTATTAGTTCTGCTTTGCAGATGGGAAAGTGAGTCTGGGAACCTGGAAGGGACTGGCCAGAGCTGCCCAGGTGACCGCAGGTGCCTGGAGGCAAGCCAGGTGTTGCCTGGGGTCTGCATACCCGCTCCTGAGGGGCCTGTGCCCTGCCTGCCCCAGGGAGCCACGTCTTCACACCTGCCCCTTTGGCCTGCACCCCAGGGGACCGGCTGAACGAGCGTGTGGCCTACCACCGGCTGGCCACCCTGCACCACCGGCTGGGCCACGGCGAGCTGGCGGAGCACTTCTGCCTCAAGGCCCTGTCGCTCTGCAACTCGCCGCTGGAGTTCGACGAGGAGACCCTCTACTACGTGAAGGTGAACCTGGTGCTCGGTGACATCATCTTGTACGACCTGAAGGTGGGTGGGGAGGGGCAGGGCTTGGGGTGTTCCCGGCCCCCTTGGAGTGGGATCTCCACCCAGACCCCAGAGGCCTGGGTTCCAACCTTGCTGAGGAATGGCCCAGTGGCCTCCCGGGAGCTCTGCACCCGGCTGGAGGAGCCGGCAAGGTTCGCAGATACAACCCAGCTCCCAATCTGGCCAGGCCCCACCCTCAAGAACTCAGTCTCAGCCAGGGAGGCTGACACATGAGCGGGCAATGGTGGTCTCTGGGTAAAGAAGGGGGATTGTAGTCAGGGGGGCTCTCCTGGAGGAGGTGACACCAAAGCTGAGTCTTGACAGCTAAGTGTCAAGTTGCATTTAACAAAAAAAACAGAGTCAGGAGAAGGACATTTCTGAAGACAGCATCATCCTCACATTGAATCCACATTGCAAGATCCAACCCAAATCCCGGCGCCTCCTCTAGGAAGCCTGCCCAGGGTGCCAGCCCGCACTGAGCAACTCCTTCCTGGAGTCCCGAGACACCTTGAATCTTCACATCACCCAGGAAGGGTGGGGTAGGGCCGGTGTCTTACCATCTGCTTCACAGACAGGGAAACCCCAGCTCAGGGCAGGTGCAGTGGGGCCAGGCCCCAGTCAGCCAGGCTGAGGCCTTGCTGGGTCGGGTCTCTCTGGAGGGGAGGTGCTGGGACCTGTGCTCCCTCTGTCCCCAGCCCTGCAGGGGTGGAGAGCTGGGACTGGCAGACTCTGACCTGGGGTGTCTCCACCCCTCTGCCCAGCAGGCGCCCGCCCCTCCTAGCATCACACCGGCACCGTGTCAGTGCTCCTTATGGGCTGAGGGGCCAGGGCACGCCAGTCCAGGGACCGAGATCTTGGGGGCCTTAGAACAACATGAGGAGCTGGGGCAGCCCTAAGACCCTGCCCCGTATCCCCCACCGCAGGCCTGGCGCTACCCGGGAGGCCCCGCCCAGTGCTGGCGACACCTGGTGGTCAGAAGCGGTCCCTGTGGCCTCCCAAGTCCCAGCCAGACAGGGAGGTGCCAGGTGTCAGGCCCAGAGGGACGCTGCTCACCGCTCAGGGGCTCACCTGTGACCCAGGGGACGGGCCTCCCAGAAGGGGCCTTTATCTCTCCTGGTGAAGCCTGCCGCCCACTCCGCCTGCCCAGGAGCAAGGAAAGGGCTAGGTAGTACCTGAGAGGCCAAAGTCCACGGTTGGGGTCGAGGGGCAGAGGCCTCCTTCACCGCCTTCCCATGCACAGCCCTCTGGGCCTCATCGTGACTATGCTGTCAGCGCAGGCCAGCTTCCCACAGGAGGTCACCTCGGAATTCCCCAGGGGGAATATTGGGCATAGTGTCCCAGGGGGGTGTACACCTTCTTTGATATTGGGAGCAATATCATCCTCTCCCCTCAGGATTGCAGGCAAAATATCGAAGGGGTTCTACAACTCGTGTGATATGGGCAGTAATATCATCCTCTCCCCACCTAGATGTTAGGAACTATATCACAGGCGGCTGTACACTTCTTGCGATATTGGGATTCTTATCATCCTCTCCCATCATGGATATTAAGAAAAATATTACAAAGGAGGTGTACACCCCCTGTGATATTGAGAGTAATATTATGTTCTCCCCTTCGGGATATTAGGAACAATACGGCAGGAGGTGTGTACAACCCCTGCGATATTGGGTGTAATATCATCCTCTCACCCTGAATAGAAGAAACAATATCACAGGAGGATGTATACCCCCTATGATATTGGGAGTCATATCATTTTCTCTCCCTCTGGATATTCGGAACAATATCACAGTGGGTGTGTACACCCCCTGCGATATTGCAACTGCTATCATCGTCTCCCTCCCAGGATATAAGGAACAATATCACAACGGGGTGTATACCCCCTATGATATCGGGAGTAATATCTTCCTCTCCCCCGCTGGCTATTGGGAACAATGTCACAGAAGGGGTGTACACCTCCTGCTTTATTGGGAGTGATATCGTCCTCTCTATCCCCGGATATTAGGAACAATATCACCAGGGAGTGTACACCTCCTGCAATATTGAGACTGATATCATTCTCTCGCCCCCTGAATATTAGGAACAGTATCACAGGGGTGGTATACACCACCTGCGAAATCGGAAGAAATATCATCCTCTCCTCCTTTGGATGTTAGGGACAATATCACGGGGGAGGTATACGCCCCCTGCGATATTGGGAGTCACATCATCCTCTCCCACCAAGGATACAAGGAACAAGATGACCGAAAGGATATACACCCACTGGGATAGTTTCAATATTGTCATCCTCTACCCCATGGCTATTAGAAATAACATAATAGAGGGGTGTACACTTTCTTCGATATTGGGAGTAATACCATTCCCTCCTCGCCAGATATCAGGAACAAGTCTATTAATTATTAATATTAATAAATATAATAAAAATTAATAGTAATCATCGATATTAATAATCACAATGAAGATAGTAAAAAGTAACATTGGTTAAAATGTTAAACATAAGTATTAATAGTTAATAATAATATCACTATTAATGAAATACTAATATCAGGAATTAAAGTTACTTAAATCAACACTAAGTGATCTCGGTAAAAAATTAATTGATATTAAAAATTAATATTTTTGAATATTAATATTAATAATTAACGTTAAATGTGCATAATCATATACTTAAAATAATTATTTATAATTAATAATAGTATCTTATTAATTAATAGTATCATTGATAATTATTAAAATCGATCATTGATGTTTAATAATTGATCATAGCATTATTCTTACTACGGCAGAGGGTGTACATCCCCCCTGAGATATTGTTCTTGCCATTCAAAACGGCAGAGGATTACATGACTCCAGATATCAAAGAAAATGCAAGACGAAGAGCATGATATTACTCCCAAAACAGATGGGTGTACACCCTCTGAGGGCGCACACACTGAGGGTGTACATTCGTCAGTGAAAGACTTCATAATTTCCAGACAGGGAGATGATATTACAGATAAAAT